AATATTTAAATTTGTTTAAACTTTAAACATTTTATTTTATTACATTTTTTGAAAATAATTGAAATTTTGACAAGAATTTTATTACATTTTTTGAAAATAATTGAAATTTTCGAAGAATTTTGTAATTTATAAAGATAATTGAAATTTTGACGAAAATTTCTTTCAATATTTGAATATAATTGAATTTCTGCGAAGAGTTTTATTACTTTTCAAATAAATAATTGAAATTTTGCAATTATTTGAAACTTCTCAAAAATTAAAATTTTTTTAGTGTTTTTAACTAAAATTTCTATATAAATTAATTATTTTTAATAATTAATTAAATATCCGATAGGTTAAAGACAAATAAATAATAATAATAATAATAATAAATTAAATATATAAACATTAAAAAATTTAACTATAATTTCATAATAATTTAAATTATGAAAATTTTTGTAAAAATCTAAGTTCTTTAAAAATTTATGATTAATATACTTTGAAAAAGATTTTAAAAATAGAAAAACTATTAAAAATTATATAAAAAAAACTAACTTTATTATTGATTAGAAAAAGGTGAAAAGGGGACAAATCACCAAAAAAGGAGAAAAAGGTGACAAAATTGAAAAAAAGGGGACAAAAGGGGAAAAGGGGATCAACTGTGATGCCTGGATTTTCCTGACCGAAGACAATTCTAAAAAAAAATAATACCGAGTTTCTAATGAATATAATATTAATTTAAAAGCTCGGAATTATTTTTCTATTTGCCCTAAACAAAATAATAGGTAAAAATAAAATAAATAAAATGCAAAAATGCCCACTAGGTGGTGAAATCTCATTCAATTTTACTTATACATATATAAATATAAGTGTCTACACGGTGAGAATTTGCGAAAGGAGTCTATGACTTGTACGTATATATTCTCTAGAAAATCTGCATTGGAAATCGTGATACGTGCTCAGCTTAGCAAAGTAGCAACGCAAATAAGAGGAAACCTCGTCAATCGTATGTGCTCACAAAAGCAATAGCGAGACGACGCATACGTTAGCAAAATTTTGTCGACCATAGCAATAAGCCAGGAGTCATAATGTACAAGGATACAGGCAGAAGCAGGCAGAAGTGGAAAAAAAATAAAGGAATGCAAAGCAAAGGGGTTTCACCACTCTACAGGTGAATGCTCTCAATCGTAATAAACAAAAGAGAGGAGAAAAAAAAGAAAAGAAGAATATGACGTAGGAACAAAAATAATAATAAATAAAAGATATTAAGGTCTAGAGGTTTAATTTTTATTCTCCAAACAAAAATTTTTATATTCCACATGTAATATAAATTTGAGGGAAAAAAATTATTGCTCTGCCGTCTTGTAATAAAATAAAGGAAAAATATTGTAAAATTTTAAGCAGAATTACGTTAAAGGAGTCACTATTGTACACACATGACAAAATTTTAACTTTTTTCCTCTTTTTATTATTTTTTTCATTCTTTCATTTTCCTTATTCTTTATTTATTCAGAGCTCGAACTAGTGAAAGTATTTAAAAATACGAACTTTAGGACTAAAAATGAAAAATTACGAATCAATTATTATTACACTGACAAAAATATAAGCAGTCCAAGTAAATAAAAAAAAAATATTTTCATTTTACCTAAAACTATAAATTAAATTTTTAATTATTATAAAACATGAAGATAACGATTTCATGTTTTATAATATAATGAAAAATAACCGAGTAATAAAATCATCAATTCAATAATTATTTTCAAAAATTTTCAACTAAAATTCTTTTTTAAATCGATTATTTTTAATAATTTTCGAAAAAGTTCCTTTGACAATTTTCAAATTTATTTATTTACAATATTCTATTTTACGAACATTCAATTTTACGAAATTTCAATTTTTCGTAAATTCTTCAATTAAATATATTATAGAATATAAAAACTTAAAATAATATAAAAAAATTCAATTACTTGTAAAAATTAACTTGCTTTTAATATTCAATAAATTATTATCTAAAATTTTAACAGAAATTCATTTTTATATCATTTTTTATTAGAAAATTCAACTAGAATTCAATTATTTAAATACAAAAATAAATAATTGAATGTTTCTTAAAATTCAATTCGAAAAAAGAATTTTATCAACAAATTTTTAAATAATCGAATTCTTTCGACGAATTTTAATAAAATTTTGAAGAATAATTACATTTTTCGAGAAATTCGATTAAAATTGTACTAAAAATAATTGAAAATTTGCGTTGAGTTTTATTATTTATGAAAATAATTGAATTCCTAAAAAGAATTTTATTATTTATCAAAATAATTGAATTATTGCGAAGAATTTTAATAAAATTTCTAAGAACAATTACATTTTACGAGATATTTATTTAAAATTGTACTAAAAATAATTGCAATTTTGCGATGAGTTTTATTATTTATGAAAATAATTAAATGTTTGCGTAAGATTTTATTAAAAATTTTTTTTTACATACCCTGAATTCTTTTGGAAAATTCTATTAAAATAGTAGATATTGAAAATCATTGAATTGAAGAAAAATTTAAAAATAATTGAATTTCGGTGAAGAATTTTTTTATTTTTAAAGAATTTGAAATTTAAAAATTTGAAATTTTGACAAAATTTTTTTTAAATATTTGAAAATAATTGAATTACTGCGAAGAATTTTATTACTTTTGAAAGTATTTCAATTATTGTTTTCTTACGAAGAATTTAATGAAAATTAAAAATTTTTTAAAATAATTGAATTCTTATAAAGAATTGAGTTTTTAAAAATTGTTTAATTCTTTTGAAGAATTTGATTACAACTATAAAAAATAATTCAATTTTGTGGAGAAATTTTATTAAATGTTTTGAAAATAATTGAATTTTTCGGAAATGTTTTTATTATTTATGAAAGTAATTAAATACTTGCGAAGAATTTAATTGAAATTTTTGAAAATAATTGAATTTTTTATAAAGAATTTAGTTTTTAAAAATAGTTGAATTCTTTTTAAGAATTTGATTGCATTTTAAAAAATAATTAAATTTTGTGGAGAAATTTTATCAAATTTTTTGAAAATAATTGAGTCTTTGGGAAAAATTTTTGCGAAGAATATTATTACTCTTGAAATTAATTGAATTTCTCCAATAATTTGTAATTTTTCCAAAATAAAATTTTTGTTTCGTGTGTTTTTAACTAAAATTCTTCTATAAATTCATTATTTTTGATAATTTTTGAAAAAGGTCTATGAGGGATTTTCCAATTCATTTGTATACAATTCAATTTTACAAAATTTCAATTATTCGCAAATTTTTCAATTAAATAATATATTATTAGAAAATAGAAACTTCAAATAATTTTAAAGAAAAAATAATCCGCAATTAAACTTTCTTAAATAAAATAAATAATTTCACAGAATTGTTAGTTAAAAATATGAAAAATTCAGATTTTCAGATTTTAATTTGAAATATTTTCAAAATTCAATTATTTCTAAAAATTCACACTTTAATGCTTTTAATATTCAATTATTATCTAAAATTTTAAATGAAATCCATTTAAATCAATTTCTATGAGAAAATTCTAGAATTAAAAATTTTTAAGAATAAATACATTTTTCGAGGAATTCGATAAAAATTTTATTAAAAATAATTTAAATTCTGCAACGAGATTTATTATTTAATAAAATAATTGAATTCCTAAAAAGAATTTTATTATTTACGAAAATAATTGAATTTCTGCAATCATTCTATTATTTTATATTATTACTATTATTTATTATTTATATTATTATTTATTACTTATATATTATTATTTATTTTATTATTTACATTATTATAATTTATTTCTTTTAAATATTTGTTGCTGAAAACGAAAAGTAAATATAGTAATTCCTTGATTTAATATCAATAAAAAAAAGTTTTTATTCGTAAGGAATTATTTTAGTTTTACTATCAATATAGTAAAAGACGTTTGCGTCAGACAATTTTCTATTTTCTAATTTTTATTACCAGCAGTAGAAGACAAATTTTTTCAATGAGAGAACTTTTCAAAATTCGAAATTTTCAAACTTAATATTATTCTTTTTATAATAAGGAATTTTTAGTGTATAAGTAGTAAAAGAAACTTTTAGTCAGACAATAGGATAAATATTCCATCATTCTTAAAAGAATTCTTAAAAGGGATTAATATAATTTTAACCATAATTTTCAACCTATTTCACTGGTCTTTCAATTTCCTTTCTCTTAAAAATATAAAATTCAGTAGAAAAGGTCAATTTCAGTCCGACTGAAAATTTCCATCAGTTTTATGAATTAAACATATTTCATTCGGTAAAGAAGGTTTTTTTAAAATTTTTTAAAAGGGATTTCACTTTTAAAAAAGGGGATTTTAATTTTTTAAATAGGGGAAAAAGGGAGTAGGTGTTTTAGGGGATAAACAAGGAAAAATAATAAAAATAATTAAAAAAGAAAATAATAAAAATAATAAAAAAATAAAAATAATAAAAATTATAAAATAATAATAATAATAATAATAATAATAATAATAATAATAATAATAATAATAATAATAATAATAATAATAATAATAATAATAATAATAGTAATAATAATAAATAATAATAATATTAATTACAATTATAATAATAATGATTAAAAAGAAAGAAAGAAAGAAAAAATTAATTCCAGCCTCGATTTGATTTTCGGAAAAACTTTCCTCATAAAAAATTTGAATGTCACATTTTTGTATATAATTTAAAACTATACACACATTATAACATAAATGTTGTATTTATAATTTCCGTGTAATTAATTGGTGTGAATTCGACTAGAAAAGAATGCCTCTAGTTATACAGAAACAAAAAAAGAAACACCAATGAAAAAGAAGAAGAAGAAGAAGAAGGAAAAAAAAGAAATTATACCCCGATTGTGTGAAAAGAGGCGGCACAAAGATCATAAAGGGTAATTTATGCAAATATTAGGTTCGAGTATGTATATGTATACTATATATTGTGAAATTGGAAACTTACGCATTATTTTTGAGTCGGTCTTCGTTGTACCTTTCGTGGAAATCCAATAACTCTTGAATTAGACCTGCTTCAACCATCGACTCAACTCTTTCATCCAGTCTACTGTCAAGGACCTCCTGCAAACATTTCAAAGAAATGTGAATCTCATTTTTAAATATATTTATATATATATATATATATATATACATATATACGATGATTTTCGAAGTATTAAATATTAGATATATTAAATTTTTTTCTTTTTATCTCTTTATTCAAGCGTGAAATTCATCATTGGTGTAAAAATTTTAATATTATTAATATAGACAAAGAATTTTACCGCTGGTGATTTAATAGTTAACTTGAATTTTAATAATATAATATTTTTGAATACATAATAATATTAGATTAATCATTTTTAACAAATTTCATAAGTTTTTAAATAATTTTGAGCAAATTTTAATTGCTCAAATTAATTTTATTTTGATCATTATTTAAATTAATTTAATTTATTAATAATTCAACTAATTTTTAATCAGTTTTAAAAAGTTTTTAACCATTTTACACAATTTTTCATTAGTTTTAATAAGTTTTGAACGATTTTAATTTTTGTTTAAAATTTTCATTATAATTAATAATATTTAACAATTTTAATAAGTTTTAAATAAATTTGAACAATTTTTATTTGGTTTTAACAAATTTGGACTAATTTTTAATTAGTTTCAAAAAGATTTCAACCATTTTATACAATTTTTAATTATTTTTAATAAGGTTTTGACGATTTTAATGTTTGTTTGTAAATTCAATTACAATTAATAATTTTTAACAATTTTAATAATTTTTAAATAATACAGAAAATTTTTAATTGATTTCAATAAGTTTAGAACAATTTTTAATTCATTTTAATAAGTCTTGATTCATTCCGACCAATTTTGAACAATTTTGAATTAGTTTTAAACAACTCTGAACAATTTTCAAACTGTTTTATATAATTCTAATCAATTTTTAATCAGTTTTAATAAGTTTTTAACCATTTTACACAATTTTTAATTAGCTTTAATAAGTTTTGAACGATTTTAATTTTTGTTTGCAATTTCCATTAAGAAATTAATAATATTTAACATTTTTAATGAGCTTTAAATAATTTTTAATAATTTTTAATTGGTTTTAACAAATTTTGGTTAATTTTTAATTAGTTTTAAAAAGATTTGAACCATTTTAAACAATTTTTAATCACTTTGAATCAGTTTTAAAGGATTTTAACTTTTGTTTACAAATTCCGTTATAATTAATAATTTTTAACAATTTCAATAAGCTTTAAATAATTCTGAATTATTTTTAATTGGTTTTAACAAATTTTGACCAATTTTTAATTAGTTTTAAAAAGATTTGAACCATTTTAAACAATTTTTAATCACTTTGATTTAGTTTTGAAGGATTTTAACTTTTGTTTGCAAATTCCGTAATAATTAATAATTTTTAACAATTTTAATAAGCTTTAAATAATTCTGAATAATTTTTAATTGGTTTTAATAAGTTTTAATCCTTTTTGACCAATTTTGAACATTTTCTAATCAGTTATAGTAAGTTTTAAATAATTTTGAACAATTTTCAAACAATTTTAATATATTTTAAATAATTCTGATCAATTTTTCATTAGTTTTAATAAGTTTTTAACCATTTTACGCAATTTTTAATTTGTTATAATAAGTTTTCAACGATTTTAAATTTTGTTTGCAAATTCCATTACAATCAATAATTTTTAACAATTTTAATAAGTTTTAAATAATTTTTAACAATTTTAATAAGTTTTAAATAATTTTAAACAAATTTTAATTGCTTTAATAAGCTTTGACCAATTTTTAATTAGTTTTAAAAAGAAGGACCCTGAAGTTGCCATCGATGCTCAGCAATAAAAAATGTTTTTTTCACGAATCAGAAAAATATATCACAGAATTTTTTTCCAAGTTTTATATGGTTAAAAAAGTACTCTTAAAATGTTCTTTGCTAGGTTTCTTTCCTTATGTTTTTTTCCTAGGTTTTAATAATTTTTTTAACAATTCTAAACAATTTTAAACAGTTTTAAATAATTCTGGTCAATTTTTAATCAGTTTGAATAAGTTTTTAACCATTTTACACAATTTTCAATGAGTTTCAAAAAGATTGCAACCATTTTAAAAAATTTTAAATCAATTTTAATAAGTTTTGAAGAATTTGAACTTTTATTTGCAACTTCCGTTATAATTAATAGTTTTTAACAATTTTAATAAGCTCTCTTTTTTAATTTAGGTGAGAAAAGAGGGGAAAAAAAGGAAAAAAATAGAAATGTTAATAAAAAAAAAAAAAATGTTTACAAAAAACAAATAGTAATATTTATTAAAAAAAAAGACGTAAAATTTTGAAACAGATTGGAATGAACACGAAGGAGTTAGAGTAAGGTTTAAGAAGAACAAAGCCCGACCTTTTTCAACTTTGTCGGCAATGACCATTTTCTAGTACATATTTAAAGAGCCCCAGCAAGTGTTACTCCTTACAACACTTTTACGCACACACACACACACACACACACACATATTTCATTCATGCCTCGTGAGTGAAATTTAAAACTTCTTTTACCTCATCAAGTGAGTGAGTCGCGCCAACGTTTTCTTTTTCCGTTTTGAACATTGATCTCCCCCCTTTCAATATAACGTGTGCGGAAACTAGAAAGCTCTCTCACACACGTGGTTTTTAAAACCATTCAACAATAATCGGGTCAAGGTTCTCTAAATAAAAGCGTGTGCAATTTTATTTTTTTTCTCTTTTTACATCGATCATCTCTATTACCTCCTGCAAATTAAAAAAAAAAAAATTTTTTTTCATTTTCTCACAGACACAAAATATATACTTGAAAAAAATAAAATTCGATAAGAAGAGAGACTTGCGAAATTCCCTAATCTCACGATGGCCTGATTCCTAAGTATAGCATAAGATTATGAAAAAAAAAAAAATTTACTTATTACGTGAAACCACTCAAGGAAAATTCTTCAGGCTTCTAAAACTGTGAGAAAGATCTAAATACACTGAAAAAAAAATTATTTGATCCAAATAAACAAATACAAATAAATATTTACTTGAATCAAACAATTTTTACCTTCAACCAATTAAATCGTCTTATTTGCTTCAGAGACTGAATTATTGGTTCAAATATAATTAATTTGATTTAAATAGAAATAATTTACTTAATTTGGTTTCAAATTTTATTTGGTTTAAATAAAAATAAAATAGTTCAAAACTTTTATTAAAATTAAAGAAAAATTGTTTAAAATTATTTAAAACTTATTAAAACAAATTAAAAATTGCGTAAAATGGTTCAAAAAGGATCAAAACTTATTAAAACCAATTAAAAATTATTCAAAATTATTTAAAGCTTATTAAAATTGTTAAAAATTATTAATTATAATGTAACTTGCAAACAAAAGTTAAAATCCTTTAAAACTGAATCAAAGTGATTAAAAATTGTTTAAAATGGTTCAAATCTTTTTAAAACTAATTAAAAATTGGTCAAAATTTGTTAAAACCAATTAAAAATAATTCAGAATTATTTAAAGCTTATTAAAATTGTTAAAAATTATTAATTATAACGGAATTTGTAAACAAAAGTTAAAATCCTTTAAAACTGATTCAAAGTGATTAAAAATTGTTTAAAATGGTTCAAATCTTTTTAAAACTAATTAAAAATTGGTCAAAATTTGTTAAAATCAATTAAAAATTATTAAAAATTATTTAAAGCTTATTAAAAATGTTAAATATTATTAATTTCTTAATGGAAATAGCAAACAAAAATTAAAATCGTTCAAAACTTATTAAAGCTAAGTAAAAATTGTGTAAAATGGTTAAAAACTTATTAAAACTGATTAAAAATTAATCAGAATTATTTAAAAGTTTAAAACAGTTTGAAAATTGTTCAGAGTTGTTTAAAACTAATTCAAAATTGTTCAAAATTGGTCGGAATGAATCAAAACTTATTAAAATGAATTAAAAATTGTTCTTAACTTATTGAAATCAATTAAAAAATTTCTGTATTATTTAAAATTTATTAAAATTGTTAAAAATTATTAATTGTAATTGAATTTACAAACAAACATTACAATCGTCAAAAACTTATTAAAAATAATTAAAAACTATTTACAATTGTTCGAAACTTATTAAAAATAATTAAAAACTGTTTAGAATTGTTCGAAACTTATTAAAATTTAAAACTGATTAGAAATTATTCAAAATTGGTTGAAATTCATTAAAATTGATTAAAAACTGTTCAAAAATTTTTCTATGTAATTAAAAGTTGGTAGAAGCTTATTAAAACCAATTTAAAATTAAATCATAATTATTTAAAACTTATTAAATTTGTTAAAAATTACTAATTTTAATGGAATTTACAAACAAAAATTAAAATCGTTGAAAACGAATTGTAATGGAATTTATAAACATTAATTAATAAAAATGAAAATAGTTCAAAACTTATTAAAACTAATGAAAAATTTTGTAAAAAGGTTAAAAACTTATTCAAACTAATTAAAAATTAGGCGAAACTTATTAAAAACAATTAATAATTGTTCAGAATTATTTAAAGCTTATTAAAATTGTTAAAAATTATTAATTGTAATGGAATTTGCAAACAAACATTAAAATCGTCAAAAACTTATTAAACTGATTAGAAATTATTCAAAATTGGTTGAAATTTATTAAAATTGTTTGTTTTGAGAATGCGGGAATATTTTTAATTGCTATAGTGGTTATATATGGTTCTTTTTTTTATAAAAAACAGTTATAATAAAAGATTTATTTCTATATTTATTTTAATATTTATGATAAAATTGTTTATTATAACAGTCAGAGGTGTTTAATAAGTGGATAATATTTTTTTTTGCCGCGTTTGGACGCAATTAAATTTTAATTTGTAAATTAATTTGTAGTTAATGCACGAATTTAAACCACCTGTATACGCAACAATGAAATGACTTGTTACGAATACAAGTGCGTGATAGTACACCGCGTGTATATTGTGCACGTGCGCTATTATAAAATCATTTCAATTCGGTAACAGCGTCTTATGCAAAATAGAGTGCTAATTATATAATATTTCTTAATTTTCTATAGTCTTCAATTAATAATAATTATTTATAGAAAAATGCATATTTGTTATTATTTTGCAAAAAAATCAACGAATTAAATAAAATAAATAATAAATTAGTCAATTAATATATAATTAATTTAAAATAAATAATTAACTATTTTACAAAATAATTAATTGATTTAGGTAAAAGTAATTAATTACTTCGTACAATAATTATTTCGTACAATAATTATTTCGTATAATAATTATTTCATACAATAATTATTTCGTACAATAATTATTTCGTTCAATAATAATTAATTGTTATGTTTAATAATTGATTACATTTAGCTAAATAATTCAATTTAGTTTTAATTAACTTACTTAAGAACTTTTAACTTCATTAATTTTTTTGTCTGATTCATTACTAATAAATTAATTATTATTAAAAATTGATTTCGAAAATTAGAAAAACGTATTTAAAAATTACAAAATCGTTTTCAGATATTTTCAAAATAGGATCAGAAATAATTGTGAAAAGGGGTTTTCTTTAATTAATTGCAAAAAATAAATTTTTGAAATTTTCCATTCGATAAGTATCCAATAATTAAAAATTGATTGAGAAAAAACAATTTTATCTATTCTATACACTGTTGGGTAACAATCATCTTAATTATTGTTATTGTATTTGACAAAAATTTTGTATATTTAAAATCGTGACTTAAAATTAATTTTTCAAAATGAATAAACAAAAAAGTAAATTTAATAAATAAGTATTTAAAATAAGGAAAAAATTTGAAAATAAAAGAATACGCTATTCTTTTTGAATAGAGAAACTAAATTTTTTTTTGTCTTCTATTTTTCTTTTACGTGATTTTGAAAACATTACAAGAAAACTAAAAAATTTGTTGTATAATATTCACAGTATAAATACTAACGAAAATTTGTCAAATTATCAATAATTTTTACGAGAGACAAGTTCGCTAAATAAAAGTTTTTTAAAGTGAAAAATGTTTTTCTCTAAATCAGCATTGCTCATAATATTTGCTGCCTGTAATTATAATTTTATTTATTTACTTAAGACAAAATATGGACTCAAAAAAAAGAAAATATATTTTAATAAATAAATTATTTTTTAAAAAAAGTTTAGATTATTTTCAAAAATTTGAATAATATTCTTCGCAAAAAATTCAATTATGTTCAAAATTTTTTTTAAATTTTCGTCAAAAATTTAATTATCAATATAAATATGTAATACTATTGTAGTTACTACTATTCTTCTCAGAAAATGAATTATTTTTAAAAATTTTAATAAAATTCTTGGCAAAATTTTTATTATTTTTAAAAACTTTCCTTAATTCAGTGATTCTAAATATTCACTATTTTAATAAAATTTTCCAAAAGAATTTAATTATTTTAAAAAAAGTTTTTATAAAATTCTATGTAAACAGTTAATTATTTTTATAAATAATAAAATTCATCGTAGAATTTTAATTATTTTTAATACAATATTAATCGAATTTCTCGAAAAATTATTCTTAAAAATTTCATTAAAATTCGTCGAATGAATTCAAAAAATTTAATTCTCGTAGAATTTTCTAATAAAAATTGTTAATTATTAAATTATTAAATAATAATTACAATGAATTTTCGGCAGGTACATCATGTACAATGGCACAATTAGCCAAGTATAATAGCTTATCAGTAAAGGATTTGCAAGCGAGTTGCGAAAAAAATGGTGGTGATATAGCTCAACTGGAAACAATTCATACAAAAGTTGACGCTCTTTTTAACGAAAAACTTAAGGAAATGTCAGCTGAAGAAGCACTTAAGACTGACTGCAATTGTTTGGGTCCCGATCTAAAGACTTTATTAAAAGAAGAAATGGCAGTTGTGAAAAATTGCTTGAAGGGCGAAATTGAACTGTCCGATGATGATATTAAAACTTTAATTGGCCAAAGTGTGAAAAAATTGTGTGCTCTCAATCGACTTTGTAAGTTTTGTAAATATATCATTTTTCATTGAAATATATTTATCAATAATAAATAATTTATTATTTATATAAATAATAAATAATTTATTGTTTATATAAATGATAATTTATAACAATAAATAATTTATTATAATAAATTTATTTATTATTCTATAATTTATAATATTTTTTTTACAATTTAGTAATAAATTTATTTTTTATTAAAAAATTATAAATTAAATTTTATTTTATTAAATAAAAAATAAATTTATTACCTATTTATTATTTTTTTTTATTGAAAATAAATGAAAAATAATTATGTTTCCCCACTATAGCATCGTTTGAAAAATCTCTTAGCACTTGTATTAACGCTGATGAACAACTTGCATGTGAAACTATTGTATTGGAGCCAGTTGAAGAATTAGAAAATAGTGATCAATTCGCTAATTTAGGATTGACATTTTCCCCTGAAGGAAAAAAGTAAGAATTTCCAGAATTATAATTTTCATTATTCTAATTATATTAATATTGTTGAAAATAATAATTAACTTATTAATTGTTTTCTAATTAATGAAATTTAAAATTAATTTATATCAATAAAATATTATTCTAATATTAGATTTAAATTCATTTTATTTTTTTCAACTATACTTTTATTAATTAACTTTTAATAATTAATATAATCAACTGTATTAATTATTAAATTTAAATTTCATTGTAATTAATTTTCAAAATTAAAATTTTTAAAATATTTTCGTTTTTCAGAGTATGGACCGATTTGCTTGATTGCTCATCGAAAGCTATTGAGAATTGTAGCGAAGAAGAGAAGAAGACACATTTAATACTGACTATGCGAATGAAGGATGCATTCAAAGATCGAATTTAAATCTGAATAATAATTACTGATTATAATGCGAAATAAAAAATTGTTAATTTCTTAATTGTAAAAGAATAATATTGTTTAACATCAACAACTATTTATGTGCATATTTAAAAATAAACTCTGATTTTAAACACCAATTTTTCTGTCTTTAAAATTTGAAATGAAAATTTTTCCTTCCTTTAAATCAAATATTTTTAATTTAATATTTTGTTCATTATTCTGTAATTATAATTATTATTATAATATTGTTAATTATTGAAATATAATAATAGAATTATAAAAATATAATTTGTAATAAATAATTTTTAAGTAACGAAACACGATTGTTGTGAACAAATTTTGTATCAATTATTACACAAATTAACAATTTTTTCTTTTTGAATTAAAAAATAATTTTTCAAAAAAATTTATTTTTTCTTATAAACAAATTACGTAAACATTCGTACTAGATAGATAGATTAATCGAATTAATAGAAATTTCATAAATTAAAAAAATCATTTTCGTCCGCATGCAAATTAAACTTTTTGCCAAGAAAAAGCAGATTGGTAAAAAGAAGTTAATATAACAAAAATTAGTTTAATAAATAAAATTAGTTAAATTTATTAATAAAAAAATAAAAAAATAAAAAAATAAAAAAAATGTTGTATGTACTAAGATTAAAGCTAATTAATTTAATTTTAAGAATGTTTTCTAAGGCAAACAATTACATTCGTTTTGTAAACAAATAGAATAAACAATTGCAATCTACTATTGACATTTATCGGCAAAAATAAATAAACATTTTTGATTTCTAACAATTTTAATTTTTAAAAGATAAAAATCTTTTAAAAATATGCAAATTGTTAAATTTGTTTACATATGTTTTAAAAAATAAGAAATTCGTATTATGTAAAAAAATTTAAATTTAAATACTAATCAATGCAGAAAATTTTTCCTATAATGAAAATGTTTTCAAATTTTTTCTTTTCAATAATTCATTTTTTGTTTTTTTAAATTTAAACAAAAAAAAAAAAATTCAATAAAACATTTACAAAGTAAAAAAAAATTAATTTCACGACTGATCGTGACTTTTAAAATTAATATAAACAAAGAACAAAGGGGAATGCATTAATTAACATTCTTAATAATTGAAGATAGATAAACATTAAAAAAAGAAATGAAAGAAAAGAAAAATCCTTCTATAGAAAAGCAAATTTTTTTTTCAATTTTTTATCTTTACGTGACTTTGAAAAAATATCGGAAAAAACTCGAATAATACACGGAATAATTTGTGCTGTATAAATATAAAAATTTTTTCCCAATTGTCGAGTTAGTTTTACCAAAAAATCTACACGAGAAGGAAGTTCAGTATTCAAAAATTATATTTCTAAAAATGTCAATTTTCAATCTGATATTTTTGACAGTGCTTGTTGGATGTAATTAATTTATTTAGCAACAAATTTTTCTAGTCAATTTAATAATTAAAAAAAAAATTTTTTTAAAGAAAAAAAATTGGTTTGAATCAGAAAACTTTGTTTAAATCAGAAAAATTTATTCCAATCAAAAGAAGTTGTTTAAATTAAAAAAATTTGGTTTAAACCAAAAAAATTTTTTTTTAACCAGACCATTTTTTTCCCCCTTTGCAATTGACACTATTATAGGCCATAGAAAAAAATTTATTTAATTTTTGTCATAAATTTAAATTATAATTCAAAATAAAAAAAAAATTTTTTCCTAAAATTTTAAACATTCAAATAAACTCAAATTTTTCTACTCGAACATTTTCAAAAATTACTGGAGAATAAAATTAAATATAAAATTAATTCAACACTTACAGACAAAAATTAACTTTTTCCTTTATAAAAAAAAAAATACATTTTCTATAAAGATTTAAATTTCTTTAGGATCTTTAGGGAAATAAAAAAAAAATTAATATAAATTACTTTATTACAGCGTGTGTCGTCTTGACAGAGGCGCAGACATTTAAATATAAACAATTGACAGTAGACGAATTAAAAAATTCATGTAGAAAAAATAAAGTAAATTTAACGGAGCTAGAAAAAATTCATAGCAATGTGGAAAATTTATTATATGAAAGTATCACACCAACTAAAAATCCTGATGCTTTGAAGAAGGATAAAAATTGTTTGGGCGATTCTTTGCAAGGTCTACTGAGAAAAGAAATGTGGTTTGTAAGACGATGTCTTAATGGAAGTATTCAATTAGACAACAGCACCGTTCAAATTCTCATTGACGAAAGCGAAAGGAAATTATGTGCCCTCAGTCGACTTGGTAAAATTCAAAATATTTTTTCAAAATTAATTAATTAAATGATATTAAAAAAAATACTTTTCTACTTAGTAAACATTTTTCCTGTGATTTTTTTTTTATTAATATTTTTATAAAAGAATTTTTTGGAAAAGTATTTTCATAAAAACATTTTTATAAAAATTATTCTTAAAAAAATTAATTCATTATACGTAAAAAAAAATTTTTTTCAGCCTCTTATGAAGAATATCTCTCAGAAGTTTGTCTTAATTCTGAAAGATCGGAAAAATGTCAACTAAATGTAATGAAAAAACATAAAATGGAAAATACAAATGAATTCGCAAATCTAGGATTATCATACACTGATAAAGGACGCAAGTAAGTTTTGACTAAAATTTTTATTTCTTTACTTAAAAAAAAATATATTTCCATTCTTGAAAAACAATAAATAAATAAAATTAAAAATTTTTAATTTCTAGAGCTTGGATAGAACTTTTTGATTGTGCAAGTGGTGAAGTGAGTAAAACTTGTAATGAGGGTCAACAAAAAAAACATGCACAACTAACAAAAGAATTTATTGATAATTTAAAAATAAATCGTATACGTGCAACTATGAAACTTACTCCTGCTGAAGTTGCAAAACTGCGAAGTTAATTACAAAATTATATTAAAAATTATAAAAAAACCACAGCAGTGACGATTAATATCAATAAAACTAAAAAAACAATAAAATAAAAATAAATATCAAATAATGACTAAAATATTATTATAAAAACAATATTTGAAATAAATTAAAAAATATATCGAAACGTTTGCAACATTTTTTTTTTTCATTTTCAATTTATATCTAATCAACATTTTTTTTTCTACCTTATAATATTTTTAATTTTACATGAAATATTTTTTAATGGAAAAATTATTTAATTTCATCATTTTGCATAGAATATTGATTACAATATTTATACAGGTGTTTGAAATATAGAAAAAAAAATGATAGAACTTACTATAGTTAAGTATTTATTTAAAAAAATTTTAAAACTAAAAAAACACAGAAATTTTTGTCAACTGATTAAACTTTACTGCTACTACGATCTTTCTCAATTAGAAAAAAAATTGAATCAAAAATTAATCGAAAATAATTTATAATCAAAACCATTATTTAATGTATTTTTGTGCAACATTTTATATTTAATTAATAATTAATTAAAAATTTTTTTTTAATTATATTTTAAAAAATAAATTAAATTACAATTTTTTTTACAAAGATTCAGTTTAATTGAAATTAAAAATTTATTACTATTTTTATTAACTTTTGGAAATTCAATTATAATTTCTTATTAAAGTTTAGTGTATATTTACAATAAAAAATATTATTATTATTATTATTTTTATTATTAATTTTTTGGAAATTTAATTACAATTTTTTATAACAATTCAGTGTACTGTTCATAACTAAAAAAAAATTCAAGGAAAAATAATTTATATCAGAATAGATAAGAAATTAATATTCTTTGCTTTTACACAACTGATTAAATATTGTTTATATACGAAAATAGTGAATAATTAATGGAGTATAAATAGTAGGCGATTTTTCCAACAGTCAAGTTAGATTCTCCAAAAATTCTATCAAGTCTACTATAATAGAAAAAAGAAAATGTATTTCTTTAAATCATTTTTGTTAGTAGCGTTTCTTGTCAGTAAGTATTATTTTTATTTTAAATTACTTGCACTTTGCTTCCGTGTGGTAAATTTAATTTTCTAAATTAAAATATAAAAAAAATTATTAAATAAATAAACTTCCGAATTAAACCTTAATTTCCTAACTTATAAATAATAAAAAAATTTTATTAAATAAATAGAATAAATTATTAATTTTTTCAAGTTACCTTGAAACTACAGGGACTTAAAATACTAATAAATAATTAATTAATTAATTAAATAAAAAAATAAAAAAAATTTTTTTAAATTTAAAAACTGATAAAAATACTAAAATATTTTTTTTTCAGTTTCTATCTCATGGACAAGCGCACAACTATCAGAATACAAGAAGTTAACGAACGATGATTTTGGAAAATTATGTGAGAAAAATAATGTGGATTTAAAAAAATTATACAAAGAAAGTAAAGTGGAAGATTTATTTTCTAAAAATATCGTTGCAATTGAAAATCCTGAAAAAATTCAACACTGTCTGGGCAATTCTCTTCATGAATTGCTTCAAAATAATATGCAAGCAGCAAAAAAATGCGTTCAAGGAAGTATTAAATTAGACGATAATAGTATTAAACAACTTGTCGACGAAAGTGAAGAAAGATTGTGTGCCCTCTTTAGACTCGGTAATAATCTTCATTTTTTCAAACTTTTAAATTAATCTCTTAATTTAATTTTCTTTTTTTAATTAATTTTCTTCAATTTTAATAATTTAACAAAATTTGGTTCAAATAAAAATATAGAAACAAATTTTCATTTAAAACGAATTATTATTATGCTTAAAAATAGAAGCAGTTCTTAATAAATTTTAGAAATTAAACGAATTATCAAAAAAAAAAAAAAAACTATGAAAATATTGAAAGAAAATAACGCAATAATTATATTTATTTTAGCTTCCTATGAGCTGTACCTTAATGATGTTAACAAAAATTTAGAACTTGATTCTAATGCTTCAAATATTCAAGAATGCAGTAACATAATGGACAAAAGACCAATGGAAAACTTTAGGGAGTTTGATAATTTAGGATTATCCTATTCCCCAGAAGGAGTCAAGTGAGTACAATTAATTAAACTAATTAATTTTAATTTATTGAAATTAATTTAAATTAAAATAATTAATAAGTAATTAAATTAATTAACTAAATCGAACTATTTTTATGTTAATAATTATTTTTTATAACACATTGATAAGTAATAATTAATTATTTATTTATTTCTCTTTTTTTCTAGACTTTACGAAAATATTTTCAACTGTGTATCACTTGGTATCAAAAAAAGCAATGATAAAGATCAAAATGCCAAACGTGAAAGTCTAATGAAAGAATACATTGCTACCCTAAAAGTATCAACCTTGTAAAATTCTCAATTATTAAAAAATACGTGGAAAAAAAATAAATCAAATAAAAAATACATGATTTTGCAAATATTTTGAAAATAAATAATTTTACGAAAGAAAAAGAAATAAAATTCTGACAAAATCTCTATTTTTAATGTTTTTCTATCAATAAAAAAAAATTGTATACTCTGTCGATAAAAAATATTTTTTATATTAGAAAAATTACCATTAAAATTATCTAAAAAATCGATCGACTTAGTTTAGACTCGACTAAACAAAAATGTGAATATAAAAAAAGGAAATTTGCGTAAATTAAAATCTCCGTCAAATAAATGGGGAAAAAATAAATACAAGAGAGCGATTAAAATTAAAATTTTTATAATTCGAATAGAACTGTTTAATTTCGCATCTGTTAAAAATTACTGTAAAATTTCTGTTTTTATATTATTTTCTAAGACACTGAATAAAAATTGTTCTAAAACAGAAACTGAATGTATTGATTTAATTAAGGAGTCACGAGGCAAAGCAAAATATTTGTGCTCATCTGCAATTAGGTAAAAATTACTTATCAATTATCAATTAATATCAACAATAAAGAGAAATTATGCAAAAAAAAAATTTTCTCTTTTAAAAAAAAGAAGTTTTTTTAGAAATAAAGAAAAAAATTGTTATGAATTCTTTTCAATTGTTTACAATTGATCACTTCGATTTTTCCAAATTTCAATTTTTTCAAAAATTCATTTTTTAATACAAAAAAAAAAAAAAAAAAAAATAGCAAAACGGTTAAAAATTATTTTTTAAAATTTTTTCTCATTATTTTATTACAGGTACTGAGAGAATGACAATAAAAATGTGTCACTGATATTTTGCCAAACATAAAATTATTATTTTCAAATTCCCAAAAAATAGGATTTATATAGAAAATATTCTAACAATTTAAAAAGAAAAATTCCATCGAACCATATCAGACGTCTATATTTTTTAGTCAAAACTTACAATAAGGCAACACTCAATATGCAAATTTTAAATTTTCGTTAATATTGGAATATGCAAAAATTCTCATAAATTGAATAGAAATTTTTTGAATTCACATCTGTTGATTTTAGTAAAACTTGTGACACTTTCATTATTTGTTTTTACGTCACTCGAAAAAATAAAAAAATAATTGCAAATAAAAAAGAAAAATACAAATACACTGAATAATTAAGGGAGTATAAAAAAGGAGAAATATTTCGAATAGTTCAGTTAGTTTAGAAAAAAGTCGACGAAGAGAAGGATTAAATCTGAAGAAAATGTATTTCTTAAAATTATTATTCTTTATATCTTCTTCCGCTTGTAAGTATAATTTGTTTTAGATAATTTTTCCATTTTAATAATTTTTATTTTAATATCTGTTATTTTATCATCTTTTATTTTAATATTTTTTATTAATATATCTTTTATTTTAATATTTTTTATTTTAATATCTTTTATTTCAATATTTTGTATTTTAATATTTTGTATTTTAATATATAACGAAAATTAAATATTTTATATTCTGATTTTATGAAATCAATATTAAATCTTACTGTGTGTAATTAAATATTTTTTTCAGTTTGCATTAAATCGATAGGAGCGCAGCTATCGAAATACAAAAATTTGACAAACGAGGATTTTAAAAAACTATGTGTAAAAAATAATGAAGATTTAGAAGAACTACACCAACAAAGTGGATACGATCAAATGTATCAATCATACAGGAAATTTATAAACAATTCCATAAGTATTAAAGACTGTGTGGACAATCCACTACCGGAACAATTTCTCCTTAATACGACGATAATTAAAAAATGCATTCAAGGAAATATTGAATTGGACGAAACTAGCATTCAACAACTCACTTACGAAACAAAACAAAAATTTTGTGCTCTAATGAAAATTGGTATTTTAATTAACAATTCTTATCAATTTTTTCAAATATCGTAAATTTTAATTTAGCAGAAAAAATTATAATTCCAAAAATATCCATTAATTGTATAGTAAACTATAAGGTAGTTAACAATTTTTTAGATTCCTATTCCGAGGAGCTTGCAAGTCACATGGAAAAAGTCGAAGTACCTTCTGATTCATTTCTTGAACAATTTCCCAAAGAATGTCACACTATATTGCAAACAACTTTCGAAAATAGTGATGAATTTAAAAATTTAGGATTATCATATACTGAAAAAGGACTAAGGTTTGTACTAAATAGCAATCCTAATTATTAAATTATATAATAAACCTACTTTAGTAATTAGGTAATTAAAAAAAAATAATTTTGCAAAATAATTCATTATTCTTTTTTTCAGAGAGATAACACATCTTTTTAGATGCTTAGTTAAAACAATTAGAAAAGTATCGAGCAATGAAGAAACTGAAAAAATCAGTCAAATGTTTACTGAATTTTATGACATTATAAAAGCAGATGTTATAAACTCTACTATGTGAAACACATTTTAGAAATTTACAAAATCTTCAAATTTTACAATGAAATTATTAAAAAATATCCAAATAAATTAATTACAATTATTAACAGAGACTAATTAGTTATATTCTACTAAAAAATAGTTCTTTTCTACTAATTGCTATAATAGAAAAGGTCATACAACATTTTACTACCAATTAAATAATTTTAACTAATTCTGACTTCGAGGGAATTAATTCTCTCTAAATTAAAACAGAGTTGGTTTTTCTTAATTAATCAAAAAAAACCAAACTACTTATAATAATTTAATTTAATCAATTTTTAATTTAAACACAAAGCATTCTCATATGAAGAAGAAAAATCAAATTTTTCAAAATTGATCCGATTTTTGAAGCAAATAAAGATATTTAAGCAATAAGGATATTAATATTAAATTCATGAAAGAATTTAAATATTTATAATTAAATAATTATTAAAAAAAATTTTTAATAATTGATTTCCTTCGACTAATTTTATGCAAATTCTAATTTAAATAATTTCTTAAGAAATTTTTATTATTCATGAAAATAATTCAATTCTTACGAAGATTTTTACAAAATTTTTTTTAAATAATTAAATTCTGTTTGGAAATTTTATGAAAATAGTAGAAAAGTAAAAATAATTAAATTTTACAATTAAAATTTTTGACAATAATTGAATGTCTGTATGGTATTTTATTACACTTTTTTTTGAAAATAATTTAATTCCTGAGACGAATTTTATTATTTATGAAAATAATTGAATTCTTGCAAAAAATTTAATTAAAATGTTTGAAAAGAATTGAATTTCTGTGAAAATTTTTGTTATTTTGGAAAATAATTTAATTCTTCCAAACAATTTTAAAAAAAACATTTTTTTTTTAAATAATTAATTTCTTCGAGTAATTGAAATTAAATTTTTAAGAATAATTACATTTTTTGAGCAATACCTGTAAAATTGTATTAAAAATAATTGAAATCCTGCGATGAATTTTATTATTTATAAAAATAATTGAATGGTTGCTAAGAATTTTATTAAAAGTTTCAAAAATAATTGAATTTCTGGAAAGAATTTTATTAATTATATGAAAATAATTGAATTCTTCGTAAGAATTTTATAAAAATTTTTTTAAATAATTAATTTTTTCGAAATATACCTAAAAAATATTATAAAAATTTTATTTTAAATATAATTGAATTCTTGTGGAAAATTTAATTTGTGAAAATAATTGAATTTTTCGATTAATTAAAAATAATATTAAAACTAATTGAAATTCTTTTATGAGTTTTATTATTTACGAAAATAATTAAATTCTTGCTTAGAATTTTATCAAAAAAAATTTTTTTTTAAATTTAATTTTCATGAAAAATGTTATTATTAGTGAAAGTAATTGAATTATTGTGAAGAATTGTATAAAAATTTGGTTTTAAAAATATTTCCAAAATATTATTATTCAGAATTGTAGCGAAGAAGAGAAGAAGACACATTTAATACTGACTATGCGAATGAAGGATGTATTCAAAGATCGAATTTAAATCTGAATAATAATTAACGATTATAATGAGACATAAAAAATTGATAATTTCTTAATTGTAAAAAAATAATATTGTTTAACATTAACAACTGTTTATGTGCATATTTAAAAAATAAACTCTGATTTTAATCACCAATTTTTCTGTCTTTAAAATTTTAAATGAAAATTTTTCCTTCCTTTAGATCAAATATTTTTAATTTAATATTTCGTTCATTATTCTGTTTAATTTTATATATTAAACATTATTATTCCATATAGAAATTATACTGTTTGTCCTTGAAAAAAATACCGAAATATTAAAATTATTAAATATAGGTAATATTTTTTTATTTTTTAATTCTAAATACATAAAAATAAATACGATTGTATGTACATTAAAGAATATTATCGTAATGTAATTATTATTATAATATTGTTAATTATTGAAATATAATAATAGAATTATAAAAATATAATTTGCAATAAATAATTTTTAAGTAACGAAACACGATTGTTGTGAACAAATTTTGTATCAATTATTACACAAATTAACAATTTTTTCTTTTTGAATTAAAAATTAATTTTTCAATAAATTTTATTTTTTCTTATAAACAAATTACGAAAAAATTCGTACTACACGGATATTAAATCTGGAAATAAATTGAAATAAATAATAAATAAATAAATAAAAATATATAAATAAATGAATAGTTTATAATAAAATAAATTGTCTATTTCTACTTCTTCTAAGATAATTCCATAAAAAATTTCTTATGACAAAATAAATATTCTTCCGATTAATTTCAATCTTATAAAAAAATCATATACGTATTGTATTGCAAAATTTTTTTATAAATTAATCGAATTAATAGAAATTTCATAAATCAAAAAAATCATTTTCGTCCGCATGCAAATTAAACTTTTTGCCAAGAAAAAGCAGATTGGTAAAAAGAAGTTAATATAACAAAAATTAGTTTTATAAATAAAATTAGTTAATTTATTAATAAAAAAATAAAAAAATAAAAGAATGTTAAGAATTAACAAATTAAGAATTAATTAAGAATGTTTTCTAAGGCAAACAATTACATTCGTTTTGTAAACAAATAGAATAAACAATTGCAATCTACTATTGACACTTATCGGCAAAAATAAATAAAAATTTTTAATTTCTAACAATTTTAATTTTTAAAAGATAAAAATCTTTTAAAAATATGCAAATTTAACATTTGTTTTAAGAAATAAGAAATTTGTATTATGTAAAAAAATTTAAATTTAAAAACTAATCAATGCAGAAAACTTTTCCTATAATGAAATTGTTTGAAAATTCTTTTTTCATTAATTCAATTTTTGTTTTTCTTAAATTTAAACAAAAAAAATTCAATAAAACATTTACAAAGTAAAAAAAATATTAATTTCACGACTGATCGTGGCTTTTAAAATTATTATAAACAAAGAATAAAGGGGAATGCATTAATTAACATTCTTAATATAAACATATTTTTTTTATCATCCACATATAATTTTGACTGTTTTCCAAAATGCCTATATTTATAATAATAATTTGCCTATAAAATAAAATTCGTGACATTACAAAAAAATAATCTGTTTTTAAAAATGCCTATAGGAATACTTTGGCTGTAAAATAAAATTCGTGTGTGGAAAATTATGAAAAAAATGATAATTTTTGACAGATAAAACTCATATTGTACATAAAATTCCATACATTTTTTTTAAAAAGAATAAATAAAAGAACTTTTGTGCTTTTATTTATTTCTATATTTTACCTTGAGAAAATAATTTTTATATTATTTGTTTTAATACCACCTGACAATAAGATAAACACTGCGAATAGTTTAGTGAGTAGGTATAAATATAAGAACCAATAAATTTCTAATAGAAAAAAATTTAGATTCTAAAAAAATATTCTGTAACGAAATATTAAGTTCCAAAAAACCTTTTCTTTCGAATAATATATACTTAAGAAAAATGTCTATCTTTAAATCACTACTGCTTATTGCGATTTCTTCCTGTGAGTACATGAATTTTTACAATATATTTTTTCTATAAACATTTTATTTTCATAAACATACTTCAATTAACATATAATTAATAAAGTACATATTTATATAAAATATTAATTGAGTACTAAAATTTTTTTCTGACATAGTTTTTATCTTGTGGACAAACGCACAACTAGTGAAATACAAAAATTTGTCAAATGATGATTTTGCCGAATTGTGTGCAAAAAATAATGTAAATCTTACAAAATTGAACGACAATTGGGAATTTGCAAAAATAATTTTTGCTCATCTTAAAACCGATGGAAATCCTGAAAAAATGCAAAACTGTGTGAACGGTACTTTACGAGAAAAACTTCGATATAATATGGATAATATAGTGAAAAATTGCATTCAAGGAAGTATTGAATTAGATGAAAGTAGCATTCAACAACTTATTGACGAAAGCGAGAGAACATTTTGCGGTATCTACCGACTTGGTAATGTGGAAAAAATATTTTTTCAATTTTTATGCAATTTAATTCTAAAAATAATAAGACAAATTAAAAAGTTTATATTAGATATTTATTTTTGAATAAATAAACAATTGAATTTTTCTATTTTAGATAAAATTTTCCTTTTTACTTTATTTTTAAGTGAACAAAAATCAAATGAAAAATTTCTTTTTCAGCTTGCTATGATCGATATCTTCATGATACTACTGGTTGTCTTAATCACACAATTAATTTAGCTTGTCAAAATCAAATATTCAAAATGAAACTGGAGAACGTTGATGAATTTGCTAATTTGGGATTATCGTTCACTGAACAAGGATTTTCGTAAGCACTTTTTATGAAAAAAATTTTAATCATTTTAAAATTGATACTTGTTTAGTATAATACTTTTTAAAAATTAATATCTTAATTTTTAAAAATATTTGCCTAGTATTATAATTTTTTAAATATTTGTTAAATATTGTAATTTTTTAATTACTTGTTAAATATTGTAATTTTTTTAATACTTGTCAAATATTTTAATTTTTAAACACTTGTCAAATATTTCAATTTTCTAAGTGCTGACAAAAATATATTTTTTTTAATTACTGTTTAATAATTGTACATTATACGTTAGTATCTTCCTTACAGAAATTATTTAAAACTTCTGAATTGCACATCAACCGATGTCAAACAGAATTGTAAAGAAGAACTGAGTGCAAAACGTGAAAAGATACAAAAAGACTTCATTGATACTTTTACTGTGATTCATAAGTGATCGACTATATGAATCCAAAAACTTCAAAATTAATAAAAAGAATTGTTTTGTTTCACATTTTCATTGTATTACAAAAAAATGGTGTATTAAACTGCAATATAATTATTAGAAAGAAGTAAACAAAAATTTAAAAATTAGTAATTTATTCCAAAGTTAAAGAATTTGGGTCTATGTTTGTTAAAAATAAAATTAATTACTATAATGTACTTCTCTTGACTATTTTTAAAATATTCAATGAAATTCTTTATACAAAATTCATTATTATTGTTCATAAAATTTTAGCAAATTTCAATTTATTTCTCATTTTTTCGAATATTTTAAAAACTAAATTTTTCAAACTTTTAATAAAAATATTTTGAGACTATTACTTTGAAAAAAGCTTAAATTTAAATCAATTGAAAATTAACTAATTAAAAACAATTTTAATTGTAACTTATTCGTAATTAAATTATTCCAAATGCAATTTTTAGACTTCTTAATGTTGATTTTTTAATAACAAACAGATAATTACATTCGATTGTGACTCTGTGTAAAATTAAATTATTCATTAATTACTAATTTCAAATTTGTTGTAAATTCTATTCTTTCAAATATCTAATAAAATTCTTTTACAATTTTAATTATTTTTAATTTAATTTCACAAAATTTCAATTGATTTGACAATATTCTTTATTAAAATTATTTTAAAAAATTTATTATTTTAATAGAATTTTGGCAAATTTAAACTATTTGAACAAATTTTCAATTACTTGTTTATGAAAATTCAATTATCTTAAAAAAAAAGAAACGACTGAAATATTTTATCAAAAGCAAATTTTTGAGAATTTTAAATAAAATTTTGCAAAAGTTCAAGTTTTTAAAAAGTTGAATTTAAATCTTTTTAAAATTAAAAATAATATTTTCATGTTAAAATCTTTTTTAATATTTATAATTAATATTTTGCATATAAAATAAAAATCTTGACATGAGAAAAAAATAATCTGTTTTTCCAAATTCTAATACTTTGCCTATAAAATAAAATTCGTGAGTGAAAAACTATGAAGAAATGATAATTGAGCAGATAAAACTCATGAAGTACATAAAATTTTATACATTTTTGTGAAAAAAGTAAAGTTAATTTTCAAAATGTTCAATAAAATATTCTTTATAGGTACAAAATTCATTTATTTTTCATAAAATTTTAGTAAATAATTTATTTCTCATTTTTTCGATTTATTGCTTATAAAAATTCAATTATCTTTAATAAACAGAACTGGGATATTCTAAAAAATAAATTATTAAAAACTTTAAATAAAAGTTTCCTTGACGAGTACCTACTTTAAAGAAATAGTTTAAATTTAATTCTTTAGAAAATGAACTAATTAAAACAATCTTAAGTGTAACTCATCTTTCTTCAAAATATAGTTTATGATACTTCAAAAGCAAAAAATTTAGTCTTGAATTTTTTTTTCTAACCATAACAAAAATTGGATTTTTTGTCTAATAAATAAATTGAAAAAAAATTTACAATTGATTTTATTTCTTTAAAGATATTTTTTATTAAACGTTGTTCGTATACACATAATTTTAATCTTCTTTTTGAAAATGACTATATTTTAATAATAGTTTGGCTATAAAATAAAATTCGTAACATTAAGAAAAAAATAAGCAAAAAAAAAATGTTAATTTGACAGATAAAATTCATTATTTCATAAAAAGTCACGCATTTTTTTTAAGAATAAATAAAAGAAAAAATCTTGAATCCTGTGATAATAATTTACATGTTTCTTTTATCAACTGATAAAAATTAAAAAACACTCTAAATAATTTAATGGGTATAAATATAAGAAAAAATATTTCTGCTAGAAAAAAGTTAGAAACTAAAATATATACTGTAACGAAATATTAATTTTTTTTTTTGAAGAAAATGTCTTTCTTTAAATCACTGCTGTTGATTGTAATTTCTTCCTGTGAGTATATGAATTTTTAGAACATATTTGTATAAATTTTCTATTGTTTTATTATTTTTTTTTTATTATTGAGTTTGCGGTTACGATTCAAGTTTCTATTTTGCTTTGGCCTATAATAATAATTAAAGTACTAAAATTTTGTTCTGACAGTTTTCATCTTATGGATAAATGCACAACTATCAAAATTCAAAAATTTGTCAAATGATGATTTTGCAAAATTATGCGCAAAAAATAATGTGAATCTTACAAAATCTAATGACATTAGAAAATTGGGAAAATTACTTGTCGCTTATATTGAACCAAATGAAAATCCTGAAAAAATGCAAAACTGTATGAATAGTACTCTACGAGAGGAACTTGAATATAATATGAATAATATAGTAAAAAAATGCATTCAAGGAAGTATTGAGTTAGATGAAAGTGAAATTCAACAACTCATTGACGAAAGTGAAAAAAGATATTGTGGTCTCCATCGAATTGGTAAAGTGAAAAAAAAATATTTTTATAAAGTTTACGAATTCTATGAAACAAGACAAATTAAAAACTTTTTATTGAAAATAATAAATATTTGAATGAAAAATTCCAATTTTTGAATTTTTTAAAAATTAGTTCTTATTATTTTAGATAAAATTTTCTTTCTTACTTTATTTCTCAAGTGAAAATGAATGAAAAGAAAAATTTCTTTTTAGCTTGCTATGATTGGTATCTTGAAGATACTATTGGTTGTCTTAATTATACAATTTATGGAAATTGCGAGGATGAAATGTTCGAAAAGAAACTGGAGAACGTTGACGAATTTGCTAATTTAGGATTATCATTCACTCCAAAAGGACTCAAGTAAGATACAAAAATTATAATTATTTGTTAATCTGATTTTTTTTTATTTGATATTTTTTAATATTAAAATCTTAAACTTTTTAAATATTTGCTAAACTTGTTAAATACTTTAATTTTTTAAACACTTGTTAAATATTTTAATTTTTTAAAAACCATTTAAATATTTTAATTCTTTAAACACTTAATAAATATTTTAATTTTTTAAATAAATAATTGTTAAATAATAAAATTTTGTAAATATTTGTTAAATATTTTAATTTTTTTAATTCTTGTTAAATAATTGCATATTATGTGCTTTTTTTTCTTACAGAAATTTCATTCAAATTCTCGATTGCAAAGCAACCAATGCTGAACAAAATTGTAATGAACAACAAACTGCAAGACGAAAACAATTACAAAATGAATTCATTGATACTTTCGCTGTGATTCGTAAATGATCGACTATGAAATTTAATATTCAAGAAATTTGAAAAACTACGTAGCTAATCACATAATTATAAAAATTAATTACAAAAAACGATATAGGCAAAAAAACTTTTTCATAAAATAATTATCCAAATGCTTTAAAATTAATAACAAAAAAAAATTAATAAAATTAAAAATTAATAAATTAATAAAAAATTTCCCATTATAATTGTATTATAAAAAATGTGTATATAAAATTGCAATATTTTTCAAAAGAAGTAAACCAAAACATTAATTAGTTCAGACTTAAAACTAAAAAATTTCAAACTAAAAAAAAAAATTAGGTCAAAGAAACAAACAAAATTTTCAAAATTCAGACAAAGTTGAACAAGGTTGCAACAAAAATTTGATTTTGTTTTTCCCACTTTTCTTGGTTTTGAAAAAAATATCGACTTATTTCCTAATAAAAAAAATTCCAGAAAAGTGCAATTATAAAAAAAAATTGTAAAAGTAAAAATTTGAATTTCCAAAAATTTCTATTAATTCGATACTTTTATTTTATTTATTTACATACTATATTTGAATCAGTGACTGATTTTTTACTATCTAATTAATTATTTTTAACTAATTCAAATTTAGAGAACAGTATAAATATTTATAAAAATTGAAATAAAAAGCGATTTTTTAAAAACAAATGAAAATAATAAAACTTTTTTAATTTGGTGAAAAAATTCCTGGCTTATTCCCGGCTATTTCCCGGTTTAATGTTGAATTTTATTTTAAGAAACAGATGATTACATTCGATTGCGACTCTTTGTAAAATTCAATTATTTATTAATTATTAATTTAAATTTTTTGTAAATTCGAAATTTTTTACAACTCCAACAAAATTTTTTAACTTTAATTATTTTTGATAGAATTTTAGAAAATTCAATTAGTTCACAAATTTTCAATTACTTGTTCATAAAAATCCAATTATTTTCAAAAAAGCACATAAATATTTTACAAAAAGCAAATTTTTCGTAATTTTAAATAAAATTTTACAAAAAAATTGGGTTTAAAAAAAATTAATTTAAATATTTTTAAAATTAACTAATTGAAAAAATTTAATTGTAACTTTTTTTAAATTAAATTATCATATTTTGATATTAATTTTTTTGTAATAATATTTTCTTGAGATTAATATTTTTTTTATATTAATTTTCTGAATCATTAATGAAATATTTACAGTTGTTGTTAATATTAATATTTCATTTTATTTCCTAAAACATATATTTTATTAAACGTTGTCGTCAAATAATTTTGACTTTAAATTTAAAATGCTTGTATAGAATAATAGTTTTTCTTTAAAACAAATTCGTGACGTTAGAAAAAATGTAAATAATAAACAAAAAAATGTTAATTTACCAGATAAAACTAATAAAGTACGTAAAATGCAAGGCATTTTTTAAAAAAAAGTACGTAAGAGAACAAAAATTCTACCCTGATATAAAATTATTATTTGTTGTTTGTTTTAGCGTCACCTGATAAAAATTAAGAAACACACTGAATAATTAAGTGGGTATAAATATAAGAACCAATATTTCCAATAGAAAAAAGTTAGAAACTAAAAAAATATTCTGTAACGAAATATTAAGTTACAAATTTTTTATTTTTTTTTTTGAGAAAAATGTCTTTCTTTAAATCACTACTTTTTATTGGGATTTCTTCCTGTGAGTATATGAATTTTTAAATGACATTTTTATGAACATTTTGATGAAAATATTTTATTTTCATGGATATACTGTAATTAACGTATAATTAATAAAGAAAGAATATTTATATAAAATATTAATTAATTGAGTACTAAAAATTTTTTCCAACAGTTTTCATTTTGTGGATAAACGCACAACTATTGAAATACAAAAATTTGTCAAATGATGATTTTGCCAAATTGTGTGCAAAAAATAATATTAATCTCGCAGAATTCAAAAACGAAACCAGATTGGGAAAATTATTTTTTGCTTATCTTAAAGCGAATGAAAATCCTGGAAAAATTCAAAACTGTATGAATAGTACTCTACGAGAGGAACTTGAATATAATATGAATAATATAGTAAAAAAATGCATTCAAGGAAGTATTGAATTAGATGAAAGTGACATTCAACAACTTATTGACGAAAGCGAGAGAAAATATTGTGGTCTCTATCGAATTGGTAACGTGAAAAAAATATATTTTTTAAAATTTTTTATAAATTTTACGAATTCTTTGAAACAAATGAAATTAAAAACTTATTCAAGTAATAAATATTAAATATTTGAATAAAAAATTTCAATTTTTGAATTTGTTAAAAATTTATTTTTACTATTTCAGTTCAAATTTGCTTTTCTACTTCCATTTTCGTGTGAAAATGAATAAAATGAAAAATTTCTTTTCCAGCTTCCTATGATCGATATCTTGAAAAAAATGGTTGTCTTGATTATAATTTGACTGAAATTTGCGAAACTGAAGTTTTCAAACGAAAACTGGAGAACATTAACGAATTTGCTAATTTAGGATTATCATTCACTCCAAATGGATTCAAGTAAGATTTATTTATATAAAATTATATTTATTTTAATATATAACAAAAATTATTATAAAATTTGTCCCATTTAATTTTAAAATTAGTATTTTTAAATACAAGTTCTAGTTACTTTCTTTAAATATTTTTTTAACGCTTTGTTTAATAATTCTTTAAATTCTTTTTTTATATTTCTTTAAATGCTTTTTAAAATATTTAATTTTAATTATTTTTAAATACTTGTTAAATACACAATACACGGAAAAAAAATAAATAACTTCTAAATTTTACAAGAGTTTTTTTTTGTTTAGTAATTTTTATATCAAAAATAATTTTGCTTTGTGGCCTTTTATCCCCAAATTTGAAAATTCTTTCATAAAATTTATTTTCTTTTTCTGTAATTTTACATTAATTGTTTTTTAATCTTTACAGAAATTTCGTTGAACTTCTCGAATGCACATCAACCGATGTCAAACAAAATTGTAATAAAAAACAATATGCAAAGCGTGAGCAGTTACATAAAGAATACGTCGATACTTTAACTGTGATTCCCAAGTGATGGCGACTATGAAATTTTTTCCTCAAGAAGTTTAAAAAATTACGTAGCTAATCAGTTAATTGACAGTAACAATAAAAAAACATTTTTTCATACAATCATAAAAAAAAAAAAATTTTTTTTTTGAAAATATAATTATCCAAATGCTTCGAAATTAATAAAAAAAATTGTATTGTTTCGCTTTTTTACTGTATGAAAAAAAATTGTGTTATTCAGTAATAATGTTATTAAAAAAGAAATAAACCAAAATATAAAAATCAGTAATTAATTTCAAACCAAAAAAATTAAGTCAAAATTTGAAATTGAATAACATTCAAAATTTAGACAAACTGCAACAGGGTTGAAATCAAAATTTCCCTGTTTTTCCCTCAATTTTCCTTGGGTTAAAAATTGAATTTTAACTTTTTCTCTAATAACTATAAAAAAAAATTCAAGAGTAGTGCAATTTAAAAAAAAAATAATTTTCAGAAGTAAAAATTCGATTTAAAACTATCTATCTATCTATTTTAAAAATAAAATTTCTTATTATTATGGCGACCATTTTTCAACTATTTTTAAAAATTTCCATAAAATTCTTTAAAAAATTCAATTATTATTTTTAACAGAATTTTAGCAAACTTAAATTATTTTTCAATTTTTCAATTATTTGTAAATAAAAATTTAATTATCTTTAATGAACAGAACTGGAATATTTTAAAAACCAAATTTTTCAAACTTTTAATAAAAATATTTCGAGACTTTTACTTTGAAAAAAAGTTTAAATTTAAAACGTTTAAAAAATAACTATTTAAAAATTTTTGTTAATTGTAACCTTTTCGTAATTAAATTATTGCAGATGCAATTAAGTCACTTTAATGTCGATTTTTTATTTTAAGAAGCAAATGATTACATTCGATTGTGACTCTTGTAAAATTCAATTATTTATTAATTATTAACTAAAAATTTTTGTAAATTCGAATTTTTTAAATCTTTAACAAAATTCTTTAACAAATTTAATTAAATTTCAAATTTAAATTAAATTTAAATTAAATTTCACAAAATTTCAAGATTAATTTGATAAATCTTGAATGAAATGTTGAAAAAATTTAATTATTTCTAATACAAATTTAAAAATTTCAATTGTTTTTAATACAAAAAATTAATTGTTTTTGTAAATTTCAATTAGTTCACAAAATTATCAATTACTTGTTTATAAAAATCCAATTGTCTTTAAAAAACCACAAAAATATTTAACAAAATCACAAATTTTTCTCAATTTTAAAATTGAAATAAAATTTTACAGAAGTTCTATTTTTAAAAAAAGTTTAATTTAAATCCATTTAGAATTAATAAGTTTAAAAAAAAATTATCTAATTGTAATTTTTTTGCAATTATAATTATCATAATTGTTAATTATTGTAATTTGTAATATAATTGTAAAAATATAATCTGTAATAAATAATTTTTGAATAAAGAAATATAATTGTTGTAAACAAATTTTGTGTCAATTATTACACAAATTAACCATTTTTTATCAATAATTACACGAATTAACAAATAACAATTTTTCTTCTGAATTAAAAATTAATTTTCAATAAATTTTCTTCTTTTCTAATAAACAAATTAGGTGAACAATCGTACTATATGGTTATTAGAGCTGGAAATAAATTGAACAGCTAGTAAATAAATAAATTAATAAATATAAATAATATAAACAAACGAATAATGTATAATAAAATAAATTGCCATAATTTTGACTATTCATTTAAAATACTTAATATACAATAATAGATTTTTTTTATGACAAATTCGTGACGTCAGAAGAAAAGTATATAATAAATAAAAAAATGTTAATTTACCAGATAAAACTAATATAGTACAAAAAATGTCATGATTTTTTTCAAAAGAATACGTAAAAGAATAAACATTTTATTTTTATTATTTTTGGACAAAAATTTATTTCTTGTTTATTTTAGCGTCACCTGATAGAAATTAAGGAACACACTGAATAATTTAGTGGGTATAAATATAAGAACCAATATTTCAAATAGAAAAAAGTTAGAAACTAAAAAATATTCTGTAACGAAATACTAAGATCCAAATTTTTTTTTTTGTAAAAAAATGTCTTTCTTCAAATCACTAACTTTTATTGCGATTTCTTCCTGTGAGTAGATTTTTTAGAATATATTTTTCTACACTTTCTTACCTTAATAATTTTGATATTTTTTCAATGACCTTAATTATTGTCAAATACAGTTTATTAATTGTGGCCTTAATAATATAATTTATAATAAATTTGTAATAATTTATAATTAATTGAATTATTAATTAAATTTTATTAAATATAAATTGATTATTATAATATAATATAAAAAAGAATATAACATAAATGTATAAAATAAATATATTAATAAAGTACTAAAAATTTTTTCTGACAGTATTCATCGTGTGGATAAACGCACAACTATTGAAATACAAAAGTTTGACAAATGATGATTTTGCAGCATTGTGTGCAAAAAATAATGTAAATCTTACAGAATTTAAAAACCACACCAGATTGATAGATTTATTTTTTGCCTATGAAAAAGCGGATGAAAATCCTGAAAAAAAGCAAAACTGTATGAATAGTACTCTACGAAAGGAACTTGAATATAATATGAATAATATAGTAAAAAAATGCATTCAAGGAAGTATTGAATTAGATGAAAGTGACATTCAACAACTTATTGACGAAAGCGAGAGAAAATATTGTGGTTTCTATCGACTTGGTAATGTGAAGAAATTAATTTTTAAACATTTTATAAAGTATAATGATTCTATATATAAAATATCAGATGAATTAAAAACTGTTTACTGAAAAAAAGATACTTTAATAAAAATTTTCACAATTTTTGAATTTAAACGTTATAGTTAAAAATTAGTTTTTACTAATTTAGTTAAAATTTTCTTTTTATTTACTTTATTTTCAAAGGAAAATAAGAATATATAAGAATAAATTTGAAAATGAAAAATTTTCTTTGTAGTTTGCTATGATCGATATCTTGGTGAAGAAATTGGTTGTCTTAATTATAATTTGACTGACACTTGCGAAACTGAATTTTTCAAACGAAAACAGGAGAACATTAACGAATTAGCTAATTTAGGATTATCATTTACTCCAAATGGATTCAAGTAAGATTTATTTATATAAAATTATATTTATTTTAATATATAACAAAACTTATTATAAAATTGGTCCCATTTAATTTTAAAATTAGTATTTTTAAATACAATTTCTAGTTACTTTCTTTAAATATTTTTTTAACGCTTTGTTTAATAATTCTTTAAATTCTTTTTTTTTTATTTCTTTAAATGCTTTTTAAAATATTTAATTATTTTTAAATACTTATTGTTAAATACACGGAAAGAAAATAAATAACTTCTAAATTTACAGAAGATTTTTTTTTGTTTTGTAGTTTCTACATCAAAATTGTCGCCTTTTGTACCCAAATTTGAAAATACTTTTATAAAATTTAGAAGTTATCTATTTTTTTTTGTGTTTTAAGTGTTTGTTTTTTTTTTTACAGAAATTTCGTTCAAATTTTCGAATGTTTTTTAACTGATGCCAAACATAATTGTAAAAAAGAACAATATGCAAAGCGTAAGCAGATTTATAAAGATTACATTGATACTTTAAATGTGATTCATTAGTGATCGCGATTATGAAATTTTTTCCTCAAGAAGTTTGAAAAATTACGTAGCTAATCAGTTAATTGATAGTAACAATTAGCAAAAAAAAATTTTTTTCATGCAACTAAAATTTTGGAAATAATTATCCAAATTCTTCCAAATTCTTAAAAAAAAAATTGTATTATTTCGCATTTTTGCTGTATAAAAAAAGAAATTATGTTATTCAGTAATAATGTTATTAAAAAATAAATAAACCAAAATATAAAAATTAGTAATTAATTTTAAACCGAAAAAATTCAGTCAAAATTTGAAATTGAATAACATTCAATTTACTAATACTTAAAACTATAAATTTAATTTTATCAGAACTATAAAACATGAAGAAATACATCAATATTACTATACAGTATATCGTCTCAGTCTACGATTCATTTAATTCCCTTTCATCTAAATTTTTCGAAGCATTCTTTTCGAGAACATCAGTAATCGAAAAAATCTATTTTTTCAGTCAATTATTTTTCAATATCTCTAAAAACAAATGCTTTTTCAAAATTTAATTATTAATTTCAGATTCGAAATTTTAAAAATCCACTTATTATAAGTACATAATTAATTATTATTGTTTATTATTTTGGAAAATTTTAATAAAATTCCTTGCAAAGAACTCAATTATTTTCATACAAATAATATTCTTCGGAAAAATTCAATTGCTTTTGATAAATAGTAAAATTCTTTGCAAAAATTCAATTATTTTCAATATTTAAGGACAATTTTAATAAATATAGCAATCATTACTATACAGTATGGCAATCATTACTATACAGTATGGCAATCGTTACTATACAGTATAGCAATCATTACTATACAGTATAGCAATCATTACTATACAGTACGGCAATCATTACTATACAGTACGGCAATCATTACTATACAGTATAGCAATCATTACTATACAGTATAGCAATCGTTACTATACAGTATTGCAATCATTACTATACTGTACTATACTTTTTTAACAAAATAAATGTCAAAATTCAATTATTATCTAAAATTTTAACTGAAATTCATTTTTAAATAAATTTTTATTAGAAAATTCTACTGGAGTTCAATTATTTAAATACAGAAATCAATAATTTATTGAATAATTCAATGTTCATTAAAATTGAATTCTCATAAAGAATTTTATCTATAAATTTTTAAATAACTGAATTCTTTTGAGGATTTTTAATAAAATTTTTAATAATTACATTTTTTGAGAAATTCTATTAAAATTTTTTTAAAAAATAATTTAAATACTCGAATGAGTTGCATTATTTGCAAAAATAATTAAATCGCTGTTAAAATGTTATTATTTATGAAAAGAATTGAATTATTGTATGAAGAAATTTATAAAAAATTTCTAAATAAAATTTTATTAAAATAGTAGATATTGGAAATCATTTAATTGTAGAAAATTTTTGAAAATTGTTAAAATATTGCCAATTTATTAAAACTAATTGAAATTCTCCGAAAAGTTTTATTATTTGTGAAAATAATTGAATTTCTAAGAAGAATTTTTTTATTTTTGAACATAATTAAATTTCTTCAATAGTTTGTAATGCAAAAAAATAATTTATTGAATAATTGAATGTTTCTTAAAATTCAAATCTCATAAATAATTTTTATCAACAAATTTTTAAATAATTGAATCCTTCGATGAATTTTAATAAAATTTTTAATATTAATTACATTTTTCGTGGAACTTCATTAAAATTGTATATTAAAAATAATTGAAATTCTACAATGAGTTTTATTATTTATGAAAATAATTGAATTCTTAAAAAGCATTTTTTAATTTGCGAAAATAATTGAATCCCTGTAAAAATTTTATTATTTATTGAATAATTTGAATTATTGCGAATAAATTTATAGAAAATTTTGTAAATAATTGAATACCTGTGAAATTTTTATTATTTTATGAATGTAATTAAATGTTTGCCAAAAATTTGATTAAAATTTTTGAATATAATTGAATTTCGGAGAAGAATTTTTTAATTTGTAAAAATAATTGAAATTTTGACGAGAATTTAAAAAAATTTTTGAACATAATAATTGAATTTCTGCGGACCTTTTTTTTTTTAAAAAAAAATGGACTTTTACGGACTTGAAGCAAATTTACGGGATTTGCGGACCTAGTTCGAGCCCTGCATTTTAATATATAATTAATTTATTATTAATATTTGAATATAGTTTTAATACAATTATAATTATATTTTAATATAATCCTGACAATTTATATAATCATTAATTATTATATATTTACAATTATTACTAATAACTTTACTTCATTTTATTTCTTTAAACAAATTTCTTAATTAAACGTTGTCCGTACATATAATTTTGACATTTTCTTTTCAAAGTGCCTATTTATATAATAGTTTACCTCTAAAATAAAATTTCTAAAGTTAGAAAAAGAAGAGAATAAACAAAAAAATGTTAATTTATCAGATAAAACTCCTATAGTACATATAATTCTAGGCATTTTTTTAAAAGAATAAATAAAAGAAGAAGCATTTAACCCTGGGATAAAAATTTATATGTTGTTTGTTTAAGCGTCGCCTGATAAAAATTAAGGAACACACTGAATAATTAAGTGGGTATAAATATAAGAACCAATAGTTTTAATAGAAAAAAGTTAGAAATTAAAAAAATATTCTGTAACGAAATATTAATTTTTTTTTTGAAGAAAATGTCTTTCTTTAAATCACTACTGTTTATAGCGATTTCTTCCTGTAAGTATATAAATTTTTAGAACATATTTTTCTGTAAATATTTTATTTTCATAAATATATTTTAATTAACATTAAATTAATAAATATTCATATTTTAATATTTAATATTTTATATGAAATATTAATTAATTGAGTACTAAAAATTTTTTCTGACAGTTTTCATCTTGTGGATAAACGCACAACTAGTGAAATACAAAAATTTGTCAAATGATGATTTTGCAGAATTGTGTGCAAAAAATAATGTAAACCTTACTGCAAAGAACGACTATTTAGAATTTGCAAAATTAATTTTTGCTTATCTTAAAGCCGATGAAAATCCTGATAAAATGGAAAATTGTGTGAATAGTACTCTACGAGACAAACTTCAGGATAATATGAATAATATAGTAAAAAAATGCATTCAAGGAAGTATTGAATTAGATGAAAGTGACATTCAACAACTTATTGATGAAAGCGAGAGAAAATTTTGCGGTCTCCATCGACTTGGTATAATGTGAAAAAATTATTTTTTTGAATATTTTATAAAGTATTCTAATTCTATGAAACATAAGACGAATTTTTTTTATTTAAATATTTATTTCTGAATTTGTAAAAAAAATTTGTAACTTTAATATATTTTTCTGAATTTGTAAAAAAATATTCTATTCAAGTATTTATTTTTGAATTTATAAAAAAAAATTTTTATTCAAATATTTATTTCTGAATTTTTGTAAAAAAAACTTGTTAGTTAAATAATTATTTTTGAATTTGTATAAAAATATTCTATCAATATAGTTAAAATTTTTTCCTTTACTTCATTTTCAAAGTGAAAATGAATCAATTGAAAAATTTCTATTTTAGCTTGCTATGATCGATATCTTGAAGATACTGGTTGTCTTAATTACACAATTAATTTACCTTGCCAAGCAGAAATTTTCAAAATGAAGCTGGAGAACTTTAAAGAATTTACTAATTTAGGATTGTCATTCACTGAAGAAGGACTCACGTAAGAGCTTAATATAAAAAAATTATAATTATTATTGTTAAATCGATCCTTTTTTTATTTAATATTTTTTTTAATTAATTAAAATATTTGTTAAATATATTATATTTCTTTTAATATTTGTTAAATGTTGTAATTTTTTGAATACTTGTTAAATATTTAAATTTTTTAACACAAGTTAAATGTTTTAATTTTTGAACACTTGTTAAATATTTTAAATTTTTAAATACTTTTGTTAAATATTTTAATTTTTAAACTCTTGTTAAATATTTTAGTTTTTTAATTACTGTTTAATAATTGTACATTATGCGTTTGTATCTTCATTGCAGAAATTACGTAAAATTTTTGGATTGCACATCAGACAATGTCAAACAAAATTGTGCAAAAGAACAAAATGAAAAACGTGAGCAGATACAAAGAGACTTCATAGATACTTTCATTGTTATTCATAAGTGATTGACTATAAATCGAAATATTTCAAAATTAATAAAAAAAAATTGTTTTTCGCTTTTTCATTATATAAAAAAAAAAAATGTCTATTAAACCTTAATAATTAAATTAAAATAAAAAATAAATAATAAAATACCAAAATCAGTAATTAATTCCAAATTAAAAAATTGTCAAAATGCAGAAAAACATGTTTAAAAAATTTCAATAAAATTCTTTTAAAAAAATCAATATTGTTTGATTTTGCAATTATTTTTTTTATGAAAATTTAATTATCTTATCGAAAAGCAACTAAAATAATGAAAAAACTAAATTTTTCAGAATTTGAAATAAAATTTTACAAAACTTCTACTTAAAAAAAATTTAATTAGAATTTTTTTTAAATTAACTAATTAAAAACAAGTCTAATTAAAACTTTTTCGTAATTAAATATATTTTAGACGTAATCTAGACTCTGTACTAATTTTTTTCTTCAATTAAATTCTTAAATAAAAATTTTCTTAAAACTTCAAGTAATCTTTAAATAATAATGAAATTAAATTTTTTTTAGAAAGTCTAATAATTTTCAAAATTGTTAAATAAAATTAAATAAAAATTACACTTTTTGTAAAATAAGTATTTAATTATTAATTAAAATTTCTAAAATCAATTTAATTAAAGAATTTTAAAATTTTGGTTCTAAGCCTTTTGAAATTTAAAAAAAAAAAAAAAAATTTTTCGAAAATTGCAACTGTTTTTAAGTAAATTTCTTTCAAGTTAATTAAAATTTAAAAAAAAAGTTATTCTAGAATTTTGATATTTTTCCAAGAATTTTAATAAAATTCCCTAACATTTTCCTAATTTTCCTGAATTGTCGCAAACAATATTGAATTCATAAAAAAGTCATCGAAAAAAAATT